TAAAATATTTTGAGCATTTTTTTCTTTGAAACTCGATGTATTTCTGTACCTTAAGTTTTGCTGTTTTTCTTTCTTTTTTCTTTTTTTTTTTTTTTTGAGACGGAGTCTTGCTCTGTCACGCAGGCTGGAGTGCAGTGGCGCAAACTCGGCTCACTGCAAGCTCCGCCTCCCTGGTTCACGCCATTCACCTGCCTCAGCCTCCTAAGCTCCGCCTCCCGGGTTCTCGCCATTCTCCTGCCTCGGCCTCCTAAGTAGCTAGGACTAGGGGCGCCCGCAATCACGCCCAGCTAATTTTTTTTTTAATTTTCTAGTAGAGACGGGATTTCGCCGTGTTAGCCAGGATGGTCTTGATCTCCTGACTTCGTGATCTACCCGCCTCGGCCTCCCAAAGTGCTGGGATTACAGGTGTGAGCCACCGTGCTCGGCCTGCTTTTCTTTTTGGGAGGGAGGTGTTTGTGTATATTTCTTTTAAGTGATTACGTGAACTCTTACTTTTCTTTGGCAACTTGCTATTTCTGTTTCCTAAACTGGCATTTCATAACTTTTTTTTTTTAAACTTCAACTTAAATCTTCTTTCTTTTCTTTTTTCTTTTTCTTTCTTTCTTTCTCTTTTTTTTTTTTTTTTTTTTTTTTTTTTTTTTGAGACAGAGTCTTGCTCTGTTGCCCAGGCTGGAGTGCGGTGGCGCAGTCTCAGCTTACTCCGATCTCTGCCTCCTGGGTTCAAGCGATTCGCCTGCCTCAACCTCCCAAGTAGTTGGGATTACAAGCCTGCACTGCAACTCCCGGCTATTTTTTTGTTTTTAGTAGAGACAGGGTTTCGCCATGTTGGCCAGGCTGATCTGGAACTCCTGACTTCAAGTGATCTGCCTGCCTCAGCCTCCCAAAGTGCTAGGATTACAGGCGTGAGCCGCCGCGCTCGGCCCCGTTTTTCTCTTTTTTTGGTTATGAAATTTCCTGATGTGCATGAAATAATTTCTAAGATCCCTTCTAGCTCCAACAAATAGTTCTATGATCTTTATTTCTAATGAATCTTTCCTCCTCAGAGGCTAAATAATGCAAGTTAGAATTTCTTTTCATTTGAAAACTAAGATATACATATTTGGTTGTATGCTGCTATTATATACGATTTTTGCTCTTTTGTTTTTGGACTATTGCTGTTAATCATGTAGCTATTCACAGAATAGGATCACTCACTAGTTCAATTTTTGCACATCACTAATCAAGACTCGCTCGCTGTGGAATCCACAGGGACATACTGGGGTTATTCAGTTACTTAAAAATTTATTTGGCTGGGCGCGGTGGCTCACACCTATAATCCCAGCACATTGGAAGGCCAAAATGGGCAGATCACCTGAGGTCAGAAGTTCGAGACCAGCCTGACCAACGTGGAGAAACCCTGTCTCTACCAAAAATACAAAAATTAGCCGGGTGTGGTGGCACATGCCTGTAATCCCAGCTACTTGGGAGGCTGAGGCAGGAGAATTGCTTGAACCTGGGAGGTAGAGGTTGCAGTGAGCCAAGATCACACCATTGTAATCCACCCTGGGCAACAAGAGTGAAACTCCGTCTCAAAAAAAAAAAAAAAAAAAATTATTTATAAAGCCAGTTTAGCATTCAATTTATATTTTGGCACATAGGTAACTAAGATGGTGACCACCTCGTCTGTACAGGCTTCTGATTGTTACCAGGCTCAGGCAAGTATGTTTTCTTTGCCTACCATAACTAAATTACAAAAATTCAGAATGAAATGAATAATCTGGAATATTTACCACTGTCAGTAAAAGCCAGGTTTTTTTTTCTTCTGAATAGAGTTAGAGTGCACATTGAAGTGATTTGCTTAATTTCAGTAATCAGATTTGTAATTTCTGTGAAGATACTGATCACTTTATTCTCAATGTAAAGATTAAAGATGTCATCTTCTTTGTGGATAATCCATGGGGGCAATAGCAAGAAGTCCCTTTTTCACCATAAAGAAACCCAAGCACTTGGGTAAGGTCCCCATTGTGGCATTGAGAACATGGTGGATTAGAGCAGAGGTGTAGAGTGAGTTTAAGGAGACTGGATTGCTTGAGCCCAGGAGTTCGAAACCAGCCCAAGCAACATAGCAAGGCCCCGTCTCTAAAAAAAAAAAAAAAAAAAAAAAAAAAATTGGCTGTGCTTGGTGGCGCAAGCCTGTAGTTCCAGCTACTCAGGAGGCTGGGGCAGGAGGATCCCTCAAGCCCAAGAATTCCAGGCTGCAGTCAGCTAAGATCATGCCACTGTACTCCAACCTGGGTGATAGAGTCTCTATCTTAAAAAAGGAGACTGGCTTCATCACTCACAGGAAATCACTCTTTCTTGGATTTTTTCCCCCTTTTGAGTTATCATTCAGTATATATGAGGTTTGCCTCCAGGAAGAGAATGCTCAGCCAAGCCAACTCAAGCATCTTGTGCTTTGAGAGTGACATCTTTCACTGTCACTATTGGTAGGTTGCTATCCTTGTTTGTATGCTGCCAGCTCTTTTGAATGAATTAGAATGAATCTGTCTTCCCAAGTCTTGTCAACTGTGGGAACCTGATGTGACTGAGACTTCAGGCTAGAGCCTGGGCGGTGTGGTATGGATTTACTGAGTAACGCATGGTGTGTCATCTCTTGATAGACCTTAACTGTGCATCTTCTGCTGACCTCCCTACATCATTTGAAGCCCCTTCCTTTTCACCTTTGATTCTAGAAGACTGCTTTTGAAAAAATAGGCACATTTTAAAACATTTTTAGGAATTCAGATGCATCACTAAATATTTTTTTAAAGTGTCTGGTGCAAGTATGAAAGGTGTTTAAATTAAAGGACTCTGAGCCGGGTGCAGTGGCTCACACCTGTAACCCCAGCACTTAGGTAAGCTGGAGCGGACAGATCACTTGAGGTCAGGAGTTCAAGACCAGCCTGGCCAATGTGGTGAAATCCCATCTCCACTGAAAATACAAAAATTAGCTGGGCGTGGTGGTGCACACCTGTAATCCCAGCTCACAGGAAGCAGAGGCAGGAGAATAGCTTGAACCTGGGAGGCAGAGGTTGCAATAAGCCGAGATCCCGCCACTGCACTCCTGGATGGCAGAGGAAGACTCCATCTAAAAAAATAAAGGGCTGTAGGCTGGCCTGGTGGCTCATGCCTGTAATCCCAGCACTTTGGGAGGCCAAGGCGGGGCAGATCGAGACCAGCCTGGCCAACATGGTGAAACCTCATGCCTACCAAAAACAAAAAATTAGCCAGATGTCATGGTGGGCGCCTGTAATCCCACCTACTCGGGAGGTTAAGCAGGAGAATCACTTGAACCCAGAAGGTGGAGGTTGCAGTGAGCCAAGATTGCACCACTGCACTCCAGCCTGGGCAACAGAGCGAGACTCCATCTCAAAAAAAAAAAGCCAGGCATGGTTGCACATGCCCGTAACCCCAAGTACTCAGGAGGCTGAGGCACGAGAATAGCTTGAACCTAGGAGATGGAGATTGCAGTGAGCTGAGATCGCACCACTGCACTCCAGCCTGGGAGACAGAGGAAGACTCTGTTTCAAAAAAAATTAAAGAGCTGATACCTTTGCAGTGGGAAATTCTTAAAAAGGAAAGTTTTAAGCCAAATGCCAATTTTTAACTGATCACAATGTGATGTTGTCCATAGAGGCACAATGTATATTAGTACTGTCTTCCATATTTAGTACATAATGAATGTCTTTGGTACTCGTTTTCTGAATGGTTTGCTCTGGTAAGAAAGAAAAAAAAGCAAGAGGCAGCTTTGCCCGCACTAGCGATGGCAGCGAGGTTGTGCCACCAAAAAGCTTCATTCCCATGGTTCCTTCCTCTGGCATCCAAGAAGTTGCAGAGTCCCTTGTGTAGTTCAGAGAGCAGGGGTGTTTCTCAGGATCTCAGAGTCATCAGCTGCTTTGAAGGTGTGCTTCTTTCACCTGTGTTTTAATGCCCTGCCCCAGGGTGGTCCCTGTCTCCCTTGGGTACAGTGCCCTGTGGCACCTTGGGTGCTCTAGTTCCAGGTTTGCCTCGCTTCTCTCAGGGTGTTCTGGAGAAACAATGCTTTTTAAGTTGGCGAGTCCCATCCTCTGCCAGTTCTAGATTTTATTTCAAGAATCACCAGTGCAACTATTTATACATTCTTAGATTGCTGTTTTTATTTTTAATAATTTTCATTAAATACTGTACATTTTCTCACAAAAATTAGTATAGCTACAGAAAAGTATGCTTACATTTCATATACATTAAAATGACTTTTAGACCAGGTGTGGTGGCTCATGCCTATAATCCCAGCACTTTGGGGGCTGAGGCGGGCGGATTACTTGAGTTTGAGACAAGCCTGGTCAACATAGGGAAATCTTGTCTCTACTGAAATTACAAAAATTAGCTGAGCATGGTGGTGGGTGCCTGTAATTCCAGTTACTCAGGAGGTTGAGGCAGGAGGATGACTTGAACCCGACAGGTAGCAGTTGCCATAAGCTGAGATCCCACCACTGCACTCCAACCTGGGTGATAGAGCGAGACTCTGTCTCAAAAATAGGTCAGGTGCAGTGGCTCACGCCTGTAATCCCAGCACTTTGGGAGGCTGAGGTGGGCAGATAACCTGAGGTCAGGAGTTCGAGACCAGCCTGGCCAACATGATGAAGCCCCATCTCTACTAAAAACACAAAAATTCGCCGGGTGTGGTGGTGGGCGCCTGTAATCCCAGCTACTCGGGAGGCTGAGGCAAGAGAATCGCTTGAACCCAGGAGGTGGAGGTTGCAGTGAGCTGAGATTGTGTCACTGCACTCCAGCTTGGGTGACAGAATGAGACTCCGTCTCAAATAATAATAAAGTAAATAAAATAACTTTTGATTTGCGTTAGATAGCTTGATACCAATTTGATAAACAATTAAGTCTTCATTTTAAACAGCCTGCCCTGAGTACGGCAAAGATTTAGTCTACTGATTCTCGTTAGTGTATCTAATCCAGTGTCTTAAACAAACATCACCTCACTCTTACAGGGCTCGTGCGATCCGCTTCAGACAGGATGGTAATGAAGCCGTCGGAGGATTCTTCTCTCAGATTGGGCAGCTGTACATGGTGCACCATCTTTGGGGTATCTGTTTTTTCCTTTTTGAGTTACTGGGATTTAAGAGTTCATTACTAAGTTGTACTGGGCAGTAGAGCACATCTTGAGTCAGTAACTTTAACCACTACAGCAAATCCAGACGTCACAGAGGGACAGTCTGTACGGGGCTGTCTGGAACTAGCGAGGTCAACAGTACAAGTCCATAGATTGATGGCATTAGTGAGCTGAAAGTGAGTGGGGATGATGGGGAAAGGAATAAGGGGTGAAGCAAGCAGCCATGGAAGAAGGAGGCCAGGGAAGTCAGAGTGCCTTCCACAGAGTGGTCCCAGCCTTTCTTTGTAGACTGACTTCTTAATTCCTTGGCAGAGGCAGGCCTGCATTTTACCCAGAGCAGCAGCTTCCTGCACATACTCACTGTCTGCCTTTGTAGACGTGGTTCCACTGTCTCAGGACATGGACCCCCTCACCTTTTCCATCCCCACGCACTTTTGTTTGGCACCATCTTTGGTATCTTTCCCGTCCTGCCCCAGATGTCACCCCTCCCCAGTAGTGAACATCATCACTCCTCCTGAGCCCCCAGGGCCCTGTGTGGTGCTGGTTATTACTGTTGCACTGTGTATGGTGTGCAACCCTCTCAGGCATCCCTGTCTATGAATAAGCACAGGTGCTAGAAGGGCCGGATTGGATGGAGGAAGTTTCCATCCCTTTGGCTCTTGGGCCGAGGTCAAGCCAGGTGCATGCTCCATTCACATCAGCACCTGTAGCTGCTCGCAGAGGGCCTCCCAGATGCAGGATCCTGGAATTGCAAACAGGCAGGCACCAGAGTGTGAATGGCGGAGCTCTCACAGAGGCTGTGGAGAACATAGGGCAGACCTCCTGTCTCTGCCCTGTGGGGAGGACTCAAGGTTTCACAGAGCAACAGCAAGATGAAGAGGATTGCTTGAGGCCAGGAGTTTGAGGCAACAGTGAGCTATGACTGTGCCACTGCACTCCAGCCTGGGCAATACAGCAAGACCCTGTCTCAAAAAAAAGGTAATTAAGAAGATATTGGCTGGGCACAGTGGCTCATGCCTATAATCCCAGCACTTTGGGAGGCCGAGACAGGTGGATCACCTGAGGTCAGGAGTTAAGAGACCAGCCTGGCCAACATGGCGAAACCTCATCTCTACTAAGAATACGGAAAATTAGGCATGGTGGTGCATGCCTGTAATCCCAGGTACACAGGAGGCTGAGGCAGAAGAATCGGTTGAACTCAAGAGGCGGAGGTTGCAGTGAGCTAAGATCACACCACTGCACTCCAGCTCGGGAAACAGCGAGACTCTGTCTCAAAAAAAATAAAAGCAAAGTAAAAAAGAAAGAAGGCATCTGGATGAGATACCTGTGAATTGTACCACGACACAGGTGATCCCCCTCCACCTGAAGTGCCTTTCTTCCCATTCCTACATCAGTGATGTCCTTTTCAGCTTCAACACCCACCTGGTCAACTTGCACCTTTCCCACAGCTCTCCCATTGCCTGCCCTGCTCCCCTGTACACTGTGTCCTTGCATGGGCCACAGCACTCTCCACGGCTGATCTTGCCTGTCTCATATCCTGGGGCTTCACCACATGGAACACACCTGCTACCCAGATCAGTGTAGTGCGAGATAAATGTTGAGTAAAATTGATCTGACATTGCTTATCTGTGGTCTCACAGTTTCTGGTCATGAATTTAACATGTTATTGGAGAAGTTCACTTGGTTTATAAAGGTATATCTTAGATTCACTAGATTTTAAAGCTTAAGAGGGAATTGTGGCCGGATGTGGTGGCTCACGCCTCAAGTCCCAGCAGTTTTGGAGGCTGAGTCGGGAGGATCGCTAGAGTCCAGGTGTTTGAGACCAGCCTGGGCAACATAGTGAGACCCCATCTCAAACAAGCAAATAATTTTTTTAACTTAAGAATGGGCCAGGTGTGGTGGCTCACCCCTGTAATTCTAGCACTTTGGGAGATTGAGGCGGTTTGATGATTTGAGCCCAGGAGTTTGACGTCTGCCTGGTCACAAAAAAATACAAAAATTAGCCAATGTGGTAGCACTTTCCTGTAGTCCCAGCTATTCAGTGGGCTGAGGTAGGAGGATCACTTGAGCGTAGGAGGTCAAGGCCGTGGTGAACCATCATCGTGCTACTGCGCTCCCGCCTGGCTGACAGAATGACCCTGTCTCAAAAAAAAAAAAAAAAAGACTGAAAGTTTGCTTTTCCCACATGGCCTAATATAATTTTGCTCAGTGTTTCCCCAGCCCTGTATATTACACACCTGAAGTAGTCCCTGAGAAAACTAGATGCCCAGGTGAAGCAAGACTTTAACATATGTATGGGTGGAATGCAGGGTATATGTTTTAAGTCTTACTTCTCTGTGTGATTATTTTTAAGCTTACAGGGATCTTCAGACCAGGGAAGACATACGGAATGCAGCATGGCACAAACATGGCTGGGAGGAATTGGTATATTACACAGGTAATCTCTTAATAACCATGAAATAACGCTTTTTGTCTTAATGTTTCAATCATGTTCTTTCACCCTGACACTAATAGGTGGCTTTTATAATAGTGTGTTACTAGGATAGTGAGTCATCAGGTTGGGAGGGGAAGGGAGATAGTCAATTTTTCTCTAATACTTACATGACGTTTTTCAATAAAGCAGAATATCCATTCTTTCAAATATGTTTATCATCTGTTACAGTTTTCAGACCCTTGGATGTTGTAAATTGTACATCATTACCTTTCTTTGTAGATTTCTATATTGTCTGAAAACTTATTACACAAATAAAATTCTTTCTAAGCTTTTCTTTTCCATCAAAATTGTTAGTATCCCAAATCAGAACTTAATATATCAATTAAAGAGTGATTTTGAAATTAGATAAATTAAACTTCCTGTATGTACAGTATGTATACATGGGTACATAATACATGCATGTGCACATACATAAGTATATTATGAAACCCTGTTTGCTTGATTTTTATAAGAAAACAGTTGGCTGAATATAACCCAGTGCATTGGTAGAGGTAATCAGTACCAGCCATGTTGCATGGCAAGTATATTTCTGGCCAGGCGCAGTGGCTCACGCCTGTATTCCTAGCACTTTGGGAGGCCGAGGCGGGCAGATCACCTGAGGTCGGGAGTTCGAGACCAGCCTGACCAACATGATGAAACCTGTCTCAATTTGAGAGGCTGAGGCAGGAGAATCGCTTGAACCTGGGAAGTGGAGATTGTGCCACTGCACTCCAGCCTGGATGACAAAGCAAGACTCCGTCTCAAAAAAAAAAAAAAGTATATCTCAGCCCATATACTACCAAGAAAATAAAAGAGTAATTTGTCCTAGAAAGTAGATGTTACCTTGTCTTTTAGTTCAAGAGATTATATAACATATAATTGCATGTTATAATTATATAATTTGATTTGATTTTGCTGCTTACTCAAAGAACGTTTGAGAAATCACCATTTTTCTCACAATAAGACAATACAGACTTTCCCCACCTCCTACAAATAAAACAAATCTCCAAGTAGCATCTGTTGTAATTTTTTCTTCCTTTTTTTTTTTTTTTTTTTTGAGACGGAGTCTTGTTCTGTCACCAGGCTGGAGTGCAGTGACGCAATCTCGGCTCACTGCAACCTCTGCCTCCTGGGTTCAAGCGATTTCTCCTGCCTCAGCCTCCTGAATAGCTGGGATTACAGGCAGGCGCCACCACACCCAGCTAAGTTTTGTATTTTTAGTAGAGACGGGGTTTCACCCTGTTGGCCAGGATGGTCTGGATTTCCTGACCTTGTGGTCCACCTGCCTTGGCCTCCCAAAGTGCTGGGATTACAGGTGTGAGCCATCGCACCCAGCTGATGTGTTGTAATTTTAATAGCATCTTGTAGGATGCCAGCTGATACAGGGCCCACTTCTATATTTCTGCCCTTGAGGTTAATCCTGTATATTATGACATTCTCTTGTTTTCAAGCAGCACAATTTGTCTGTTAGTGTCATTTACCATAATGTGTTTAGAAAAGAACAAGTGCAGTAACCCTGATCCTATTTTCAGTTCCACTTATTCAGGAAATGGAATCCAGAATCATGATCCCACTGAAGACCTCGCCCCTCCAGTAAAGCTGTAGAGTTTCTATGTGCCTACATACATTTCTGTGACAAGTATTTGTCATAAATTAATTTTAATTGTATATCACGTGAAAAACACTGAGGTTTAAGCTGCTGTATATAGCTTGTGAGAAACCTCTTTTCTTTAAAATTTACGTAATCACAAGAAAGGAAAGAATTACAGTTGGACTGATTGTGACAGTGCCCTGTTGTCCTCTTTGAAACACCCCCGTGTTGTCCAGTGTACCTTATAACACTTAGCCACTTCTCCCCACCCTCCAGGAGGGGTCCACATTGAATTCTGAATCATCTTGAAAATAAGATTCCAACCACAAAAACAACTAGCCATTTCTTTACTAAAAAACAAAAAACAAATCTGTTTTATAATTACAGATTTTTAGACAAATTTCTTGTATCAGGAAGAAATACAAATTTTGTCATGTTTCTCAAGCAGTTTTTCTGAGTAGTTTCTGAGGAGGAACAAATTACGAGTGTGCCCAATAACTGAAAATGTTTTAACTCACTCTCATTTGTAAGCAGTCCACATAGTAGACAATGGGTTTTCCAGGCTGGGCAAGGTACATTTAATCAGTAAATCAGTTTCCTATCATGTATCGTGATGTGTCAGTGTGAGACACAAAAACAATGGCTTGAAACTTGTGTATCATATGTGATTTTGAAATGAACACCTTGAATAGCACTAATTTTTATTTGTGATATTTTTCTATAACAAAACAAGTAGCACTAGGAAAAGAGGTTTTATTTTGTAAACGATCATTTGTGACCTCAGACACTCTCTGGCTAATATTTTAATAAGCTCACAGCAGATTATTCTGAGATCATGGATGAGGAGTGGTGCATGTTGAGATTTAAATTGGCATAAAGCTGCATCCTTTTTGTCTTGCTGTTTGATTTCATTGTTTAATATGGTGTGCCAATTTCGTGACTGTTACCATGTGAAAGTCCTGTTGAAATGAACAATCATGTCTGCCCCACAATCAAGGATGCCTGTGTGAAGTGTGAGTCAATCTCATACCCAATGTCAGACTTTTACATGTCAATGATTTTCTCCAAGAACATAGAAAAGTCAATAAAATCCTCTTAATTTTCACATATCATGTTTGGATTTTTGTTTTTTTTAATTTGTTCTGAGAATGACAGACATGCTGTGAATGACTCTGTCACTCTTGCAAAATGGCTTGTCACAAAGGATTAAAGGAAGTGAGGAAGTCAGCTGGCTTCTGGGGAAAATCCTTCCAAAGGAACAAAGTATGAGGCCCTGGGCAAGGTCATGTCTGGTATGTGCCGAGGGCAGCAGAAGCCAGTGGCGGAAGCAGACATGAGGGAGAGCGTGGTGGGACATGAGCTCAGAGCTCACAGGGCTGGATCCCTTGAGTGTTGGAGGCCATTAGAAAGACCCTAGTGGCTAGGCCCAATGGCTCACACTGGTAATTCCAACACTTTGGGAGGCCGAGGCCCAAGGATCCCTTGAGCGCAGGAGTTTGAGACCAGCCTGGGCAACATGAATGAAACCTCATCTCTACAAAAAATTGAAAAATTAGCTGGCCATGGTAGCATGTGCCTATAGTCCCAGCTACTCAGGAGGCTGAGGCAGGAGGATTGCTTGAGCCCAGGAGGTTGAGGCTGTAATGAGCTGTGATCACGCCATTGCACTGCAGTCTGGGCAAGAGAGCTAGACCCTGAATCAAAAAAATAATAAGGCTGGGTGCAGTGACTCACGCCTGTAATCCCAGCTCTTTGGGAGGCCAAAGCAGGCAGATGACTTGAGGCCAGGAGTTTGAGACCAGCCTAGCCAACGTGGAAAACCCTGTCTCTACTAAAAACACAAAAATTAGCCGGATGTGGTGGCACATGCCTATAATCACAGCTACTTGGGAGGCTGAGGTAGGAGAATTGCTGAACCTGGAAGGCAGAGATTGCAGTGAGCCAAGAACGTGCCACTGCACTCCAGCCTGGGCGACAGAGTGAGACTCCATCTGCAAACAAAAAATAAAAAGACCTTGGCTTTTATTATAAGGGAGATGGGAGATGAGATCCGCTGGAGGCTTTCAAGCAGAGGAAAGGCATGATCTGACTTCTATTTTCCTTTTTTTTTTTTTTTTTTCTGAGATAGAGTCTTGCTCTGTCGCCCAGGCTGGAGTGCAGTGGCACAATCTCGGCTCACTGCAACCTCTGCCTCCTGGGTTCAAGCGATTCTCCTGCCTCAGCCTCCTAGTAGCTGGGACTACAGGCACGTGCCACCACACCTGGCTAATTTTTTGGTGTTTTTAGTAGAGACAAGGTTTTACCCTGTTAGCCAGGATGGTCTCGATCTCCTGACCTCATGATCCTCCCGCCTTGGCCTCCCAAAGTGCTGAAATTACAGGCGTGAGCCACCGTGCCCAGCCCTATATTTTCAATAGTAACTTCGATAAGGAGTAGCAGTAAAAGTAAGCAGAATGGGCCAGGCTTGGTGGCCTGTAATCCCAGCACTTTGGGAGGCCAAGGCAAGGCAGATCACCTGAGGTCAGTTCAAGACCAGTCTGACCAACATGCAGAAACCCCATCTCCACTAAAAATACAAAATTAGCCGGGCGTGGTGGTGCATGCCTGTAATCCCAGCTACTTGGGAGGCTGAGGCAAAATAATCACCTGAACCAGGGAGGCAGAGTTTGCAGTGAGCCAAGATCGCACCATTGCACTCCAGCCTGGGCAACAAGAGTGAAACTCCGTCTCAAAAAATAGTAAGTAGGCAGAATGGCCAGATTCTAAATATATTTTGATTGTAGAGCCAACGTGAATTCCTGAACAAGTGATTGTGGAGTGTGAGTGAAAGAAAAAAGTGATTTTAGTTTTTGGCCCGAGCACTTGGAAGGCTGGGGAAGGTGGAACAGATTTGGGGGAATGAAGATCAGATATTCTTTTCTACTCATGCTGAGTTGGAGATATCTCTGCACAGATCCAGGGGGAGATGTCAAGTAGGTCTTGGTTATGAGTCTGGAATTTAAGAGAGCCTTCTGGCCTGGAGATGCACATTTGCAAATTGTCCACATAAGTTGAAGTGAGGCAGCCAGATGTGGTGGCTCATGCCTGTAATTCCAGCACTTTGGGAAGCCGAGGCGGGAGGATCACCTGAGGTCAGGAGTTCGAGATGAGCCTGGCCAACATGGTGAAATCCCATCTCTACTAAAAATACAGAAATTAGCTGGGCATGGGGGTGGGCACCTGTAATCCCAGCTACTTGGGAGGCTGAGGCAGGAGAATCGCTTGAACCCAGGAGGTGGAGGTTGCAGTGAGCTGAGATCGCACCACTGCACTCCAGCCTGAGTGACAGAGCGAGATCCTGTCTCAAAAAAAAAAAAAAAAAAAAAAGACAAGCTCACCAAGCGAGTGACTATAGTCAGATGAGAGGATCAAGGTGAGGAGGAACCTGCAAAAGAGACTAAGAAACCACCAGGGAACTTGGCAGACACTCAAGCAAGCAGAGTGTCATGAGTGTCAGGAAGTCGAGACCAGCCAGGCCAACAAAGCAAAACCCTGTCTCTACTAAAAATTCAAAAATGAGCCGGGTGTGGTGGTACACACCTGTAATCCCAGCCACTTGGGAGGCTGAGGCAGGATAATCACTTGAACCGGGGAGGCAGAGGTTGCAGATACTGCGCCACTGCACTCCAGCCTGGGGGACAGAGTGCGATTCCATCTCAAAAAAAAAGAGGAGGAAGATTTTTAACTCAGTGTCTCAGAGGCAGTAGCTTCCCTCTGGGACAGCCCATACCGCAAGATAATCAGTTACTTTCCTGCCCTTTTAGTGTTCTATGAGTAACATTCTTAGAATGGCTTGTATTTCTAGGTGACTAAAACTAGATAGATAGATAGATAGATAGATAGATAGATAGATAGATAGATAGATAGATAGATAGATAGATAGATAGATAGATAGATAGATAGAAACATAGATAGATAGATAGATAGATAGATAGATAGATAGATAGATAGATAGATAGATAGATAGATAGATAGATAATTCTCTTTCTTTGGATATTTACCTGACAAGCTTCCACTGATATCAAGTAGTGGTTTTGTTTTGTTTTAGAGACAGTCTTGCTTTGTCACTCAGGCTGGAGTGCAATGGCTTGACAGCTCACTGCAGCCTCGACCTCCTAGGCTCAGGTGACCCTCCCACCTCAGCCTCTTGAGTAGCTGAGACTACAGTGCATGCACCATGCCTGGCTAAGTTTTAATTTTCTGTAGACACAGGGTTTCCTTACGTTGCCCAAGCTGGTCTCAAACTCCTGGGCTCAAGCAGGCCTCCTGCCTGGGCCTCCCAAAGTGTTGAGATTACAGGCATTAGCCACTGCGCTTGGCCACCCATTGCTTTAATTTAGGGCCTTTAAGATGGACAGCACCCCTCCAATGATTAGGAGAGGCCCAAGATGGAAATAAAGAGTTTATCACTTGGCCAGGCACGGTGGCTGATGCCTGTCCCAGCATTTTGGGAGGCCGAGGCAGGAGAATCACTTGAGTACAGGAGTTGGAGACCAGCCTGGGCAATTTCTATAGACCCTGTGTCTACAACAAATTTAAAAATTAGCCAGGTACGATGGTCTGTGTCTGTGGTCCCAGCTACCTGACAGGCTGAGGCAAGAGGATCACTTGAGCCTGGGTCGTCAAGGCTGCAGTGGGCTGTGTTCGTGTCACTGTACTCCAGCCTGGGTGACGAAGCCAGAGCCTGTCAAAAAACAAACAATAAAACAAAAAACCAGTTTATCACTTAAAGTTCCTAGGGATACACAGTACTCCTGGAGGTCATACACAGGAGGTCAGAAAGAGACTTGGGGGCCAGTGCCTTTAGTGGGGTCCTGGGCGTCACCCAAACAGGTTTCCCCGTGGAGATTTTAATTAGTGGGTTTAAAGCAAGCAGGTGGTCGGGTGAGATGGCTCATGCCGGCAATCCCAGCACTTTGGGAGGCTGAGGCAGATGAATCACCTGAGGTCAGGAGTTTGAAACCAGCCTGGCCAGCATGGTGAAACCCCTGTCTCCACTAAAAATACAAAAATTAGCTGGGCGTGGTGGTGGGCACCTGTAGTCCCAGCTACTTGGGAGGCTGAGGTAGGAGGATCGCTTGAGCCTGGGAGATCAAGGCTGCAGTACGCTGAGACTGCACCACTGCACCCCAGCCTGGGCAACATAGACCCTGTCTCAAAAAATAAAGCAAGCAGTCACAAGTTCCAGGAGGTCTTGCAGTGACTGAATGGTGGTCACTGCAGCATATCTGCCTAGTCTGTGTGGGGTGTGAGGGTCAGCGGGGCCACCTGAACAGACTGCATGGAACTGTCCCATGGGAAGGTGGCCACCAGGGGGCAGTTGTGTAAGGCAGACTTCTGGATCCACCACACTGAGGAACTGGGGGGTCAGGGAGTAGAACTGGAAACAGTGTCAAGAGTGACCGAGTTGGCTGGGTGCTGTGGCTCACGCCTGTAATCTCAGCACTTTGGGAGGCTGAGGCAGGCAGATCACCTGAGGTCATAAGTTCGAGGCCAGCCTGGCCAATATAGTGAAACCCCGTCTCTACCAAAAATACAAAAATTAGCGGGGCATGGTGGTGCACGCCTGTGACTCCAGCTACTCAGGAGGCTGAGGCAGAAGAATTGCTTGAACCCGGGAGGCAGAGCTTGCAGTGAGCCGAGATCACACCACTGCACTCCAGCCTGGGCGACAGAGCAAGACTTCATCTCAAATAATAATAATAATAATAATTCACTAAAAATTTTTTTTTATTTTTTTTTTTTTTATTTTTTTGAGACAGGGTCTCACTCTGTCACCCAAGAGTACAGTGGCAGGATCTCGACTCACTGCAAGCTCCACCTCCCGGGCTCAAGCAATTCTCCTGCCTCAACCTCCCGAGTAGCTGGGATTACAGGCGTGCGCCACCAAGCACAGCTAATTTTTGCATTTTTTAGTAGAGTCTGGGTTTCATCATGTTGGCCAGGCTGGTCTTGAACTCCAGGCCTCATGTGATCTGCCTGCCTTGGCCTCCCAAAGAGCTGGGATTATAGACATGAGCCCACCATGCCTGGCCTACAAATGTCTTTTTTTCTTTTTCTTTTTGAGGTG